CACTAGCCCCCTTCGCTCTTCTGCACACACGCTCGCATCAACCGTGCCCCTAGCAGCCCTGCCGCCTCGGGCTCGTAGCGTTGTCGTTGTAGCTTGCAGCACCGCCATCCGCACTACCATGGCTTGCCGCATACGTGCTCTGTCAGGGCCCAACCCTAGCCCATACTTGCGCGTGGGCTTGCCTGTGCACATCACATGGGCCTGGCCCGGCTAGGAATCCTCTGGCCGCTGCAGCTACAAGTATGTGGGCAGAAGCAACGACCAACTCATCCGCGAAGGATCACGAACCCGGCGGGGGCGGCTCTCTTCTTCTTCCTCTCGCTTCCCTCTTCCTGTATCCCATTTCGTGCTTGTAACCAGGGCTAGCTACTGTAATTCGGGCTTGTAATCGAGAGAGACATCTAGTTCCCTAACATCTGGTATACAGAGCCAGGCCACCACCCTTCCACCCCTCAATTTTCCCCAATTTTTTTTGTCCACACCCGATTCCTCCGTTCCACCGGCGACGACGCCATGCCCGCCGTCAAACCACCTGAGTGGGATGCCATGTCTGCCAAGGAGCAGTTGTTGTGGTATCTCGAGAGGTTATGTGCTCAGGCAGACGAGATGAGCTCAGCGTTGGGTATTGCACGAGTGGGTGACCCTCCCGTGGTCACCTCGCTTGGTGATCCGGCGGCCTCAACCACGACGGATGCCTCACCTGCGCCCATCCCCGGCGTCTCCTCCTCCACCACCAAGTCCACGGAGGTCCTCGAGGTCATCTGTGATGCGTCCACTGCCTACATTGTCAGGGCGCCCATCAACTGTTCGATGGATGGCTCGACCCAAGTCTCTACCGTCGTCAGCCTCAACGAGATCCAGGACGCCACCACCACCGTCCACCCTGAGCCCATGGTCGATCTCATCCACCAGGAGGTTGCCGCCGAGATCGTCACCCTGGTGCCAACCACCAACAACGTCAGCCCCAAGACCAGCGTGCAGGAGCGGGACGACTCGCCACTACCCTCCATCCAGTGGATCACGGCACGGAACGGCGGCGGCTCCTCTCTCTTCCACTTCATCTCATTCGTGTATCCAGATTCTTGTAATAGCTACTGTGATTGAGCCCTCTGTGAGACTACTACTAGTTCGCGGAGGAATCGGCTAGGAATCCTCTGGCCGCTGCAGCTACAAGTATGTGGGCAGAAGCAACGACCAACTCATCCGCGAAGGATCACGAACCCGGCGGCGGCGGCTCTCTTCTTCTTCCTCTCGCTTTCCTCTTCCTGTATCCCATTTCGTGCTTGTAACCAGGGCTAGCTACTGTAATTCGGGCTTGTAATCGAGAGAGACGTCTAGTTCCCTAACATGCTCCCTCTTATGGGGTCACAGCCTCGCCACTATTGTTGAAGCACACACCGCCCCTGGTCCTTGTATACACCATCGTGAGTTGCAGCTCCCGGGTGCTAGTGCTTGTAGCCTTAACGCGGCAGACATGGCTTCTTGCATTAAACACCATTGTTGATCCTAGCATACACCGTCGCCGGTCCCAGCGCATGACGCTGCTAGTTGCAACTTCGTGTGCTTGCACCCTCACCGGCGACGCTGCTAGTTGCAATTTGCAGCCTTAACGCGATAGACATGGCTTCTTGCAGCAAACACCGTTGTTGGTCCTAGCATACACTGTCGCCGGTCCCAGCGCACGACGCTGCTAGTTGCAACTTCGCGTGCTTGCAGCCTCACCGGCGATGAAATTGTAGCATCACCGACAACGGGTCACAGCTCTGGTGCACATGGTTGTAGCGTCGCCGACAACGGGTCACAATTCCATCATACATGGTTGTAGCATCGCCGACGATGAGTCGTAGCTCCGGCATACGTGGTTGTGGCATTCACCGAAACAGATGCCGGTTGCAGCTCCAACGTGCACGATTGTAACATCGCCACATGCATCCTTAAGGTGCCGATGCCGTCGCAACACTTTGTGTAGCTGCACGCTGAAGGTGTCCTTATAGCCTGCTTACATCGTCTTATTATGTTTGCTCTTAATAAATAAATATAAATAGGATAATCCTTTTTTCAAAAAATATAAATAAATAAATAAATAGACATGTCGTGTTCGACAGGTTTACCAAATACAGTACTATTTTCTTTTGATCTGAGGTTGATCAAATATTGTTTTTTCTTGAGACAATGACCAAATATTGGTTGTACTCGGTATCCAAAAACAACAGAATTGGGCTCATCGCGCACGTTTGCAGTATGCCGAACGATACGTTGATCTTAAACTGAACCTAAACAAATATCGGATTTTCTTTTCGAGTTGCTAAGAGTCTTCCCGAGGGCGACTACTCCTAGCCGCCGCCGCCCCTCCGCCGCGTTGCGTCTAGCAGGCCGAATCCTCCGCTGCGCCAACGCCGGTACAGGATCCCAGCAGCCCTCCGTCGAGCAGCCGCTCCCACCAACAGCATCTTCCTCCCATCAACGCCTCCGATCGGAGCTACGCCGGCGACCAGTCCATAGGCAGGTAGCCACCGCTCCTTCGTCCTTCCTCACCCCTCCTTCCTCTTGCATCCTCTGTTTGTTTTTCCTGATTTTTTTTTATCTTATGAGCACTTGCTGTAGATTTCATATTGTGAGAATATAATGATGATTATTTATTGATGAGTGCTTGCTGCAAGATTTTTCCAGTGCATATGCAAGTTTACATGTGAAAGGATTTTGCTTGATAGGTGTTTGTGATAATGCCAGTAGGGGCAAATGTTTACAAATTGTAGTTTGATTTTTTTTTTCGGATGAGCAAATGTTTTGGTTTAAACATGTTAAGGCATTTCTAACCGATCCCTTGTATATAACGGAGGATCCGGCGGAGTAAACCCTTAGTGAAGTATTTTTACTCCACTAAGTTTTGGCCGGACCTAGCAGATCCCCTATATATCGGAATAAAACTTACAATTGACTATGCATTTTGTCAACCACTTGGTGGGCAGAGTTGATATCAGAAACAACAGCTCGTCGGCCACAGAAACGACAGCTCGTCGGCGGACATAAACAAAATCGGGACAATTGCATATACAGCTCGTCGGTGGTGCAGGGGGGCGAGCAGGGGTGCGACGAGGCCGCGCGTCCGTGCACAAACGGAGGCAAGGGCCAGGGCTGCTCACCTCCTTCCCTTGATCAAGGGCTCCAGGCTCTGGCTCAGCACCTTCAACACTGCCGAGATGGTGGCGCACGCGCACGACGCCGCCGTGCTCGCTCTCTCCGGCCACACCGCCTGCCTCAACTTCGCCGACCCCACCTGGCGGATGCTGCCCGTGCTCGCGGCCGGCTCCTTCAGCTTCGACAGCGCGCGGGAGATCAAGGCCACCGTCGTGGCGCTCCAGAAGCAGCAGGCTCCGGTCGCCGTGGCTGTCCTTGCGCTCCAGCAGAAGCAGGTTCTGGTCGCCGTCGCCGTCGTGGCGCTCCAGCGGCTGCAGGTTCTGGTCGCCGTGGCCGTCGTGGCGCTCCAGCGGCTGCAGGTTCTGGTCGCCGTGGCCGTCGTGGCGCTCCAGCAGCAGGAGATTCCGGTCACCATCGCCGTCGTGGCGCTCCAGAAGCAGCAGGTTCCGGTCGCCGCCGCCGTCGTTGCGCTCCAGCAGAAGCAGGTTCCGGTCGCCGTGGCCGTCGTGGCGCTCCAGCAGCTGCAGGTTCCGGTCACCGTGGCCATCGTGGCGCTCCAGCAGCAGCAGATTATTCTTCTAGTCGCGTGACTGGCGCCGGAGTTTTACATGTCTTCCGGTGACCTGTTAGAGCTCGACGAGGAGCAGTGGTTTGGCGGCATAGTCGCAGGGTCGTACTACGCGAGCTTGGCACAGGGTACGCTTGCTGCAGCGCAGCAGCGGCGTGCAGGAGCAGCAGGGAGGAGGCGAGAGGGAGCTGAAATTTATCCTTCAGCCCGTCTCGGTGGAGTATATTTACTCCTTTGGTGCGGGTCGGAGTACATTTTATCCTCTCTTATGCGTTTTAGGGGATCGGCTAGGTGCGGCATAAGAGCATCTCCAATAGCTTGTTTATATGGATGTCTATACTCGTTTTCCACGACGCGAGTCTAAAACAGGCGTCCAACAGCTTGTCTATATGGTTGTCCAAATATACACATCCTCTAAATCGACCTCGACAATGTCCACGCCTGGACAATGTGAAGGCATTGTCTAAACTCAGCTGTAGTTATGATTTCTTCCTCTCCCCAGCAACGGCCCACCTGTCATGGTCCCTGTATATAGATGTTCTGATGCAAAACTGGATGTGTATATGAGGGAATCTTTTTAGACCATTGTCTATATGAATATATAGACATCCAAATATACACATGCTACTGGAGATGCTCTAAGGGAGTAAAATCCAATTTATCTTTCACTAACGCCGGATAGGGGATCAGTTAGAAATGCCCTTAGCAGTGAAACATGCAATGACTGAAGTTATATGAAAAGGAAAAGATTAAGTTGTTTTATCTGCGCTGTCTTGATTTGAAATCAAAGTTTAGCAGTAACATGCAATTATAGAGAGCAGGAGCTTTGTCTTGGTTATACTGGCCGAAATTGGTTAACACATTAGTACTAGTGGTTTTGTTGGCATGATAGATGTCCCAAACCTTGTTTTTGATTGGGAATATAGTGGTACTGTTACGTTGTGTCGTTGATTTTAACAGTCAAACCTAAAATATTACTACCTTTCTAACTGAATATAAGACGTTTTTGCAGTTCAATTTGAAGTGACTGTTTCTCCTTTTCCATTGCTAGCTGATTGATCTTCAGGTTCCACCTTTCGTGTTATGCCATGATAAATGTACAACTAACTAATGATTTGAGTTGGATGATTCATGTTTGTATGTTTTATGTCAAATTCATGTTTGTATGTTCCTAATTCAATTCATGTGTGTAGTATATGTCATATGACAGCAGTGCATAAAGTCAGATTTCACCCAAGTGCTAGACCCTTTGCTATGATTCTCTCCAGGAACAGGAGGGAGGTGTCTTGTGGTGATGGCCAATAGTAAGTATGAGTATGTGAAGAGGGAGTTCGAATTCCACCGCCACCTCCCGGCCTCCAACTGGATCGTCGTCCGCATCGATGGCTGCCATTTCCACCGGTATAATTCATCTCTTCCTCCTAAATGGGTAATATGGAAATACTCAATGTTTCCACAGCCATGTTGAGTGATTGCTGCTTTCTAATATCGGATAGTCTCTAACCGTTAACATTCTGCTCACTTCCTAGCTTTACACTGACATGGTTACTACTGGTTACGCAACTGCATCAACCATCCTAGCTATTAGGCTACCTTGTGTACCAGTGTCTTTTTGTGAGGATTAACAACATGCAAAGAAAGTTTCACTATGCAAATATGAGGATAACTTGATGCTCCAAATTATACAAATCATTAAGTTTGGATTGGTGGTCGTTCATCCACCATAACACCAGAACCGTCGGATCTAAAGCGGTTTGTTGGATTGGAAGTGCGCGAATAGGCTGTCGCAGCGTCCATACACGTCGTCATGCTTGGCCCCTTGCGTTGTGGAGGAGCACTCTGCCGTGCTACATCTCCATTTTTTTTCCTTGGTCGGCGCCTCACCATGGGGGCACAAAAGCTTCCTGTGTGGTGCTGACCACGGTAGTTACTCCCTGTAGGGAACCGCACGGGAGACAGAAATTGAAGGTTCCTTATCCTTCGCGGTTTTGCAGTTTAGCTCATATCACGAACTATATAAATTTATCTGTTGTCCCGTTGCAACACACGTGTATTTAGCTATAGTTTATATTTGTTCTTTCCAGTGTCCACTAATTTCATTTTTATTTTTGTTAGATTCTCGGAGTTGCATGCCTTTGAGAAACCAAATGATGAGAGAGCCTTACGATTGATGAACGCATGTGCCACTTCTATGCTCGAGGAATTCCCTGACATAGTGTTTGCTTATGGTGTTAGTGATGAGTACAGGTATAACATCTTCTTATCAAAGTTAAATTATGAAATTGTTTGCAGATTTTTCATAAAAAAGATTATATGCAAATGGTTTTGAATTGCACGGGCTCCATTCTTACTTTTTGAGAGCATTTTGTTCATTCTTTGGATATAATCTCTGCTTCTTATATTTCTGTTTGTTTTGCAGTTTTGTTTTCAGAGAGAAAACTGAATTCTATAAAAGGCGGGAAAGGCACGTTATTTATCTGTTCACTTCTTCACTTGGTATTTTAGGATATTGCCATACCCAAATCTATTTGCACAATTTAATTATAAAATCTCATCATGCTATTGACCTCTCTACAAATGTATGCAGCAAAATTATCTCTGTATGTGTTTCTCACTTCACATCTGTGTACGATATGAAGTGGAAAGATTTCTTTCCTAATAATGATTTGAAGGAGCCTCCATATTTTGATGGGCGAGTTGTATGCTATCCAAATATAAATACTATTCGTGATTATTTGACATGGAGACAAGTGGACTGTAAGCTTCTTGAACCAAAATCGACTTTTCTGTAATATAATAATAAGATACTTATATAGTGTAATTATGTGTGTTGATGTCCTTGACAATAAAATCATATTATGTATGTTATTTACCCTTTAAAAGAAATTATACATATTCATCAACATTAACTAATATAATAAATATAGTTTTTTATGCGTCACGTCAATGAGATTTCTGTGTCTGGTTCCTTGGCTACTTACTTTTCTATTTGATTTAATGGATGAAGATTAACATATTTAATTTTGTGTTTTTTTCAGGTCATATAAATAATCAGTACAATACATGCTTCTGGGCGTTGGTGAAGTCCGGAAAAACTGAAAAAGAGGCACATCAAGCATTGAAGGTCATCTAAATTATCTAGGGCTATACTTGTCTTTTGTGGCATTGGTATGAATCATTTTTTGTTTTTTCGTGAACCGTCTATTTTCTTTTAGGGAACATTTTCTAAGGACAAGAACAAGTTGCTTTTGCAACAGTTTCAAGTCAACTATAATGATGAACCGGCTATGTTTCGGAAAGGATCCAGTGTTTATCGAGATAAGGTAATGCTATCAAGCATTCATAAGTTCATCATTATTTATGTCCCTGCTCAGTCTCAGTGAGGTATTTAGTATTTACATATTTTTCTCATACAATTATTGTTTGCATGGTGTATACCAGTGACCATGAAAGGTTTTGCTTACTGCATTTCATTTTGTGGACATATTTTTTCTCAACATTTAGTTAAGTTCAACTAACCCAGTTAGGTTCACTTCGCATACTGAAAAAGTCATACATATTACTGTAGGTCAAAACAGATGACTGTGGGAATCCCATAAAAAGAACCCGTGAGGCAATTACAGTGTCAAATTTTGATCTCATAGGTCCTGAGTTTTGGGAAAACCATCAATACATTCTTGGAGAAGGTTAGTTGAATCATTCTAGTTTTAGGTATGCTTCCAGTCCAACTCTTATCAACTTTGGATATATACAGCATCAGACTACCTGTGTCTTGGGGGGAAAGAAAAATATGGATATGAGTATGTGAAGAAGTTTGACAACATCCATAGGCTTCCATATTCTAATTGGACCATTGTTCGTATTAGCGCCTGCCAATTTGATCAGTGAGGACTTCTATGGTCTCTTATTTATTTAAACACATGTGACAATACCATTTAGATAATTATATCATCTTATCAAGATGGAGAATTATTTTTTCCCCCAGATTCTCACTGGTCCATTCATTTGACAAGCCAAATGATGAGACTGCTTTAAGATTGATGAACGCCTGTGCTTCATTGATGATGGAGCAATTTCCTGATATTATCTTTGGCTATGGTTTTGACAATGAGTACAGGTATGATCTACCCCTTGAGAATAGCTGTGTTTGCATGGAGAAGACTACAAAAAAGACAGATAAAAACAAAATATGTGTTTCCGCATGGCACAGTTTTGCCTCTTTTCATCAGTAATAGTAATTTGAATTGAATATATTGGCAATATAAGGGATCATGTTGAAGTTGTAAGTGAAGCGGCCAGCGAAGCTTAAATGCGGCACTCTTCAGTTCTTACAGGCTGTCTTATGTTTGTTACAAATGTTTATTTTTAATGATTTGTTATTGTCGCAGCTTTGTGTTCCAGGAGAAGACTGAATTGTATCAGAGAGATGAGAGGTAGTTACTTGGTTTATGAATTCCTACAGTACATGCTGGTCAAGCCTTTGATAAAATATGCAACTTGTTTTGCAGATTAATCATTTCTTCATGTTCATCATGTTTCACTTCCTTTTACATGATGAAGTGGAAAGAATATTTCCCCAGTAAAGAGCTAGTGCAGCCACCACACTTCCAAGTAGAAGTTTCCTGTTACCCAGAACCAAGGATCGTTTGTGATTATTTGTCCCGGAGGCAATCAGAATGTGAGCTATTCCTCCCTCCTCAAGACCATATCCTTAACTAATTGGAAATATTTATGAAGTTGTCGATGGTGGTACAGTATGTAATATCTGAATTCATCTGCAGCAGTATGGATGCATTAAATTTGGTGCTTATATAACATATATGCTGTGTTATCATTTCATGTATCTTGTTTTTTGAAGATATCCTGGTGCAAGGGGTTTGACTCTTGTCATAGTTAGAACAAATCATAAGAAGAAAATGAGCTGACTCATTCTACATGCTAATTCACAGGTCACAACAGAAATCAATACACTACATGCTTTTGGATGTTGGTGAAATCTGGAGAAGGCGAAAACAAAGCTAAGGAGATACTGAAGGTCTTCTTTCTTTCATCATTTAGGAGTAGTTTTTTTTTTACTTATTCCAGTTAATTCTTTAGTAACTCTAGTATTATTCTGTGAAGGACACATTACCAAAGGACAAGAATGAGTTACTTTTTCAGCGATTTCAAATGAACTACAACAATGAACCGGCTATGTTTCGAAAGGGTTCGTGTGCTTACCATCAAAAGGTATTTTGTCCGAATCATGTTCAACAATAATGTTGTTTGTGCTGCCAGAAAGTGGCAATTTAGATGCTTACAATTTAAAATCCCCGAAAGGATCAAAGTAACTTTACAGTAATTATATAACTGAAATATGCTCTCGCGTTCGCACCTCAATCCCATGTCGCCCACGGAAGAAGTGCATCCGAGAGCAGACGTCTTTAATTTGTTTATTTTCGCATTGGGTTAGAAGGTGATTCTCACGGTGTTAACGACTTAGAGTGCAAATGGGTGCGATTTTTTGTCCAAAAGGACCACCTATCAAGTTGAATTGTCAAAAAAGACTACCTCTGAAACACATTGACAAAAAAGACCACCTGCAGCGTGGCGGCAGGTGCGCCAGCCGACACGTGGCGCCTGCCGCCACAGACGCCGGCGGCAGCCCCTGCCCCCACGGGCGCAGGCGGCAGCCCGGGCTTAACCGGTTTTCTCGCGTCAACTCCAACGGAACGGACCGCCACGCAGCAAGGCTGCAGCTACTGCTGCTGCGTGGGCGCCGAGACAGACCAGGTGGGCCATGCCGCCACTGCCAAAGGCGGCAGCTAGTGCGTACTGTAGCTAGTCCCTGCGGTAAATGGATAGAGCTATTTTCTTCCGGCCCGCCTTGCGGTAAATGGATATACCAACTTGGAGAAACTAGCACTTGGGTAAATGGATAGAGCTATTTTCTTCCAGCCGGCCGTTCGTATGACTCGAGTCAATCCGCCGTACGTACGCGGCTACACTGAACAATAGCCCAGTTCGTCAAAAAAGAAAAAAAAAATAGCCCAGCCCGACGGTATCTCTGCCCTGCGCTTGCGCTAGTGGCGCCGATTAAACAAAGTGGCATGACCACCGCGCACAGGGCGCCGCTGCCACGCAACGGATGCCGCCTCGGGCCGTGGCGGCAGGGCCCATCTAGCCTGTCGCGGTGCGTGCAGCCTCAGTAGCTGCCCGCCTTGCTGCGTGGCGGCATGGCTCACCGCTCCGGTCCGTCCCGTTGCAGCTGGACTCGCGGACGGCAAAACCTGTTAAGCCTAGGCTGCCGCCTGCGCCCGTGGCGGCGGGTGCTGCCGCCGGCGTCTGTGGCGGCAGGTGCCACGTGTCGGCTGGCGCACCTGCCGCCACGCTGCAGCTGGTCCTTTTTGTCAATCTGTTTTAAAGGTGGTCTTTTTTGACAATTCAACTATGCAGGTGGTCTTTTTGGACAAAAATTCAATGGGTGCAGGTGGAAGCCAGTGAAGATGAGCGGTGGGATGTGGCGGTGGCCCACGTAGACACGGGGCCACACTTTTGGGCAAAGCATTCTTATGTTTTCGACAGAAGATGATCCTTATGTATTCTTAGTAGGTTGATTTGCTTAGTGTGTGCCAGATTATCCTCCTCGTTTCTCTGATGCGTATATGGTTGCATTCTTTGCAAGGCCCCGCTTGGAATGGGTGTACATTTCTACACAAGTATTTATTTGACAGATGTAAATTACCAGTCACAGTTTGTTTTTTCGCCTGGAAACGAAACGACCGGTCCAGGCGTGTATCGTAAACCAGCTGAGGCTGCGCTTGGATTCGTTGTAATCAAATACGAAGGTGTTTATTTTACACCTGTATTTTACCGGCAGCTTAGCAATTCTCGGCGGAAGACAAAACAACGAGTTGAGGTCCATATCTTTTACAGGTGTATTGGAAAAGAAAACGACAACCAAACAGGGCCGAATATAACCGGAAACGAGAATCCAAGCGGGGCCTAAAGAATTTCTCAAAGCGAGTATCCTGCTTGAAAGACAAAGAGATTCTAGACCGGAAAAAGCAAAGGTGCATCATGCATGGGAGTTGGATATTGCAAGAAATAGTGGACAGTGGATCCCAGTGATTGAATTTCCCATGCTTGGAGACGGCCGCTTGTAGGATGAGGAGCGAGCTAGTGGACAGCGACGGCGCTTCACTGTAGGAGAAGCGAGCTAGTGGCCGCCGGCGGCGCCTAGATCCGGTCATGGTTACCGTCGGCGGCAGTTTCTCCTATCGTGGAGCGGTCGGCGTCGCCTCACCGCTTTCGTTGTCACATACACCAGCACGGTCGACGCCTCACCCCCGTCGCAGCCTCTGCCGCTTGTGCCTCACGCCGCTCCTTGCTCCGGCGGCGCGTGCCCACTTCCTCGCGTTTAGCTTTTGAGAGAGAGAAATACGGGGAAAGAAAACGGATGGGCTGAGGAGGGTTTCACAAACCTGGCAAATACAGGTGTAATCGGGAAACCACTGTAAATTTTACAGCCCAATAACGACGATCCAAGCGCGCCGTCACGTTACAAGTGTTCCTTTTTTTACGCGGGTGTATTTTACAGGTGTAAGTACCTGGAATACGACATTCCAAGCGCGGCCTTAGTGTGTGCCAGATTATCCTCCTCGTTTCTCTGATGCGTATATGGTTGCATTCTTTGTAAGGCCCGCTTGGAATGGGTGTAAATTTCTACACATGTATTTATTTGACAGATGTAAATTACCGGTCACAGCTTGTTTTTTTTTGCCTGGAAACGAAACGACTGGTCCACGCGTGTATCGTAAACCAGCCGAGGCTGCGCTTGGATTTGTTGTAATCAAATACGGAGGTGTTTATTTTACACCTGTATTTTACCGGCAGCTTAGCAATTCTCAGCGGAAGACAAAACGTCGAGTCGAGGTCCATATCTTTTACAGGTGCATTGGGAAAAAAAATGGCAAACCAAACAGGGCCAAATATGACCGGAAACGAGAATCCAAGCGGGGCCTAAAGAATTTCTCAAAGCGAGTATCTTGCTTGAAAGACAAAGAGATTCTAGACCGGAAAAAGCAAAGGTGCATCATGCATGGGAGTTGGATATTGCGAGAAATAGTTCGTTCTCCCCTGGTTTGCATAATAAACTTGCATGGCCCAAAAACCATACAAATGCCCTGTTTATGAGGAAAACTGGGCTGAAAATCGCACAAGCAGCGGAACCTCGACGGCAACACTACACACACCACTGATTCCCGGGGCCGCCGCCGCCTTACCTACACCAATCGGCACCAAAGCTGCACGACCCGACCATTTGCAGGAACACGCCGGGGGCTCCGTCAGAAGACCAAGATGTGGCCATTATTATTTCAGAGTAACTAATTCTTGAAGTAAAATAAATTGCAATCATTAAGCACATCGGGGTGATTCAAAAGTTCGTAGATATATATGTAACCTTTTAGAGGTAGCAGTCTAGCAGAGTTCTGTATAGGCAGTAATGGTTGTGATCATTTGGCCATGGCGAAATTATAATGCAAAGTTTGAGTATTGTCCTGAAGACCATGGTCACAGTTGGAAATGATAGGCTCGCTGTGTTTGTGTCACGACCTAGGGTCGACCAGTAAGGTATCAGAGCCTTCGCTCCTCTCTGCTGCGAATCGCCCGAGAATTTTTTTTCCTCGACTCGTGCCGGCAAATCCGAGGCGAAGGTTGCGGATCACCCTAGGGTTCGATCTGCGTAATCCCTGACCTGAGGTGGGTTGTTTCGGGGGAGATCGGCGACCACGGTGACATTCAAGCCGAATCCGCAGTCGCGCTTCATCGCAGACGAGATGGAAGCGCTTCAGGAAAGGATGCTGAAGGAGTTTGCGGAGATCCGCGCTCCACAGGGCAAATTTGGCCGCCGTCGACGGACTCAGCGCGCAGCTAGCGGCTCTCGACGCCAAGCTGACCGAGCAGTCTGCGCGTCTTGACCAGGTACAAGTCAAGGTCGATCTCTCCTGTAACACACTCGGACAAGTGCAACACAGTCAGGCCCATGCGGCGCAGATGTGCAAGCAGCAGGGAGTACCGGAGGCGTCGTCTCCGACGGCTTCTGAGGTTTCCGATGGCATATTGGGAGCGAGACCACCACCGGTGGGACGTCCACCGCCGCGCCCTATCCAGATTCCTGAGGTAGCGTCTGTCCATCACTAGCAAGGACTTACAGTGATGGATGAGAACATGGGCAAGCGGCAATGGATGCCGAAAATGGATTTCCCCAAGTTTGATGGCACAGATGTTTGAATTTGGCTAGACAAGTGGGAGGCATTTTTCAGGCTATACCACATCCCAGACAGCTTCAAGGTTACATCTGCATCTCTGTACTTGTCAGAGAATGCAGCTCGTTGGTACCAAGCTTTCAAGCAGTCGGGTGAATTCACACTTGGGGGCAGTTCTGTCAGGCAATACTGTTGGAATTCAATGTGGATGTGTACAGACAAAATATGAAGGAGCTGATGCTGTTGAAACAAGTGGACACTGTCGAAGAGTACAAACAACAGTTTCTACAGCTAGTTTACACAGCCAGGCTGTATGAGTAGCCCACACTTCATTTCCTTTTTCCCACTTAAGGAGCTGTCGGCTCATACAACCTGACTGTGTAAACTAGCTGTAGAAACTGCTGTTTGTACTCTTCGACAGTGCCCACTTGTTTCAACAGCATCAGCTCCTTCATCTTTTGTTTGTACACATCCACATCGAATTCCATCAGTATTGCCTGACAGAACTGCCCCCAAGTGTGAAATTCACCCGACTGCTTGAAAGCTTGGTACCAACGAGCTGCATTATCTGACAAGTACAGAGATGCAGATGTAACCTTGAAGCTGTCTGGGATGTGGTATAGCCTGAAAAATGCCTCGCACTTGTCTAGCCAATTTCGAACATCTGTGCCATCAAACTTGGGGAAATCCATTTTCGCCATCCATTGCCGCTTACCCATGTTCTCATCCACCACTGTAAGTCCCTGCTGGTGATGGACAGATGATACCTCAGGAATCTGGATAAGGCGCGGCGGTGGACGTCCCACCGGTTGTGGTCTCGCTCCTAGTATGAAATCGGAAACCTCAGAAGTCATCGGAGACGACGCCTCCGGTACTCCCTCCTGCTTACACATCTGCGCCGCATGGGACTGACTCTGTTGCACTTGTCTGAGTGTGTTACAGGAGAGATCGACCTTGACTTGTACCTGGTTGAGACGCGTGGACTGCTCAGTCAACTTGGCATCGAGAGCCGCTAGCTGCGCGCTGAGTCCGTCGACGGCGGCCAGTTTGCCCTGTGCAGCGTGGATCTCCGCAAACTCCTTCAACATCCTTTCCTGAAGCGCTTCCATCTCGTTTGCGATGAAGCGTGACTGCGGATTCGGCTTGAATGTCGCCGTGGTCGCTGATCTCCCCCGAAACAGCCCACCTCAGGTCGGGGATTACGCAGATCGAACCCTAGGGTGATCCGCAACCTTCGCCTCGGATTTGTCGGGCACGAGTCATGAAAAAAAATTCTCAGGAGATCCGCAGCGGAGAGGAGCGACGGCTCTGATACCAGACTATCACGACCTAGGGTCGGCCAGTATTCGACGGCGGCAAGTCGGAGCAGGAGGTGGAGGAGCAAGGGATCGGAGACGAGAAAGAGAGAGTTAAAGAGCAGGAGAGGATAAGAACAAAACAGGAGGCTAGAATATTTTCATTTCAAACTTGTCACTCAACACAGCTTACGCTCTTGCTTATATACCGCAAGTCCATTACACGGCCCACATGCCCACTACCCGATCTCACGGCTCCTATGCCCAACTCGAATGCTGGATTTAAACCTCTTTGCTTATCTGGCGCGCGCTGCTTCTCGTCAGCACTATTCGATCCCCGATCGCCTGTGCACCGCTGCTTACAGACTGTCACGACCTAGGGTTGGCCAGTATTCGATGGCGGCGAGCCAGAGCAGCAAGTGGAGGAGCAAGGGATCGGAGACGAGGAAGAGAGAGTTAAAGAGCAGGAGAGAATAAGAACAGAGCAGGAGGCTAGAATATTTTCATTTCAAACTTGTCGCTCAACACAGCTTACACGCTTGCCTATATACCGCAAGTCCATTACACGGCCCATAGGCCCCCTACCCGATCTCACGGCTCCCAGGCCCAACTCGAATGTTGGATTTAAACCTCTTTGCTTATCTGGCGCGCGCTGCTTGTCGTTTGCACTGTTCCATCCTCGATCGCCCGTGCACCGCTACTTACAGTACCCGCCCCTGAAGAACCAGCGTGTCCCCAAGCTGGTGCACTCAGAAATCGAGCTTTTAGCACATCGTAGTCTTCCCAGGTTGCCGATGAAGCGGGAACTGTCGCCCATTTAACGAGGATTTGCAAATGTGCTACATTCCCCTTCTTGACCAAGTGACGATCGATGATTTCTTCAGGGATTACGCCTGGAGCTGACAGGTCCACTGGCACTGGCAATGTGGTGAACACAGGAGTGTGATCAGGCACATGAACCTTCAATTGGGGCACATGAAAAAACGGGTGGATTTGACTTCCCTGTGGTAGTTCCAGTCGATATGCTG